GGAGTTCCACTTCAATTCCTAAGCAAGGTCTGTGTGTCAGGTGTGAACGCAGCCTTAAGAAACAACCTCATCCCGTTTTGTAACTGGCCAGGCTAGGAACGGAAAGAGATCCAATGAAAGGTCAGTTTACGTCTTCTGGCTGCAGAGCATGTATAGCAAAGGATGAATTGGGTGCAGGTTCACCAGGTCACACTGGGGGCTTCAGGTGTGTCCCCGTGCCTTTGAGGAATGGGCTGTCTACTGGCGCACCTGCACCCAATTAACCCTTTGCCATATATGATCCAAAAAGGAGGCACGCATAGAGTAGAGTTAGGACCGCAGCACAAAGAGGGGCCTTGAGGCAGTGCAGCTTCCACTTATTTTGTAAATGTTATTCAGCTAAAACCTTTTACCCCCCAATAGTTAGACCGTGTAATTTGTTTGCAGGCTGGTTGGAAAGTGTGCTGGGAAACCTATTTCTGTAGTAAGCAAAGACATTTAATGTGCACCTTGCTTTAAAAGCTAGTTATGAGTGCGTTTGCCATTTGTTTTACTTGTTCTGACTCCAGAGATACAGGATGCTGTGCCGAATATACAGCTTCAGCACCCCATCCAGCCCCCCACAAGCGACAGTGGCTTCTGGAAGGGATTAGAAAGGGATGTCAATCATCCCTGGCAACAGCATGAAAAGGCATTCCATGACGGCAAAGTCTTCTCTCTTGCATCTGTGGTGACGGCAAAAGCTGCTGAGCATCTTTCTTAATCTCTGCCCTCAGCCCGCCGAGCAGTCACATGACCGCAGAATCAAATAGTAAAAAAGTAACCAACCCCCCCCCAAAGTTACTATAGTAGCTCCAGCTAGTTTATTACAATAGGATCTTTTCTTTATTAACTGCACATATATGCTTTGAATGGAGTGGGGAAGACTTCAAAATGTAATTGCCATCTGGATCCTCCATTGGGAGACTTCTACTTCCTATTCGATAGAAGAGGAATCTTCCCCAACTTCCTGTGTACATGATGGATGGCAGAACAAGAAATAAGGGGAACTCCACTTCACTGCAGGGAGACTGGGAGCAGGCAGCAATAAAATTTAATTTTCTAGTACAGCAAAGAAGGATTAGAACTTCTGCCAGGACTCTAAAGCTACTAATATAACTTTCTGCAACAGCATGGGTTTTAAGTGCATTGTTCAGAACAACCATGTGTCATTCCCGTATATAACCTGCATTACTACAACCCCAGCAATCTCTCATTCTGACGGCATCAGTGGGACTGCACATGTATATAGTAGGTGGACCCCGTCCATACAAAGGCTATGAGAGCTAACCAGCACATATGTCCTACTTACTTGAGGAACTGACTCTTTGCTGTACTCGGGTCTCCAACAACGCAAACATTGATGTCTCCACGCAGAGATGTGCCCTCCATGGTGGTCTTTGGGACACCACCGAAGAGCATAAGCAAGACCCCTCGCTTCACCTCATCATTACCTGCACGATGGGGGAAACACAAAAAAAGGATTCAAATTTAGTATAATGACGACAGCGCTTTGCAGAAGTTGCAGGCTCAGTTGAGATCCACTCACCATGTATGGTAGGAAAGAGGCTGGTGCACAGATTATGGTAAAGATTCTTATCCTGGCTCATCTCGAAAACCTTCTCCCATTCCTTCACAGACATCTGGTTCTTGATGCTCTCCGCTGTCATGTCCTCATCGTGGAGATCCTTCCCACCAAACTGAAAACAAACCAAGTATCAGGAAACTGGGCCAATTCCTTATCTCGCCTTATAGATTGCCACCTACATGCAGCAAATGATGCTATATTATCTCAACCAGAGGCCACTATATGAGCATTGCATGCAAGTACAAAGGGAATCTCTGCTTGTCAGTGGTATTTAAATGTTTCAATGAAGTCTTAAGCAAATCAATTACTTAATAGTTATATTTAAAGGGTCAACCCAAGCAAAAAAGAGATATACAGCTGCCCATTGGACTGAAACAGCAAAATCTTCCCTGCCACAGTTCCGTACCCAGTGGAGTGGTGTGTCCCTATTGCCAACCAATATAAAAACAAGAGCCCGCAAAGGAAGAGTAGGACCAATATGGAATGAAGCCATGATGTGGCACCCACATCATGGGTGCCACTAAACATCAAGAAGACAAACTATTAGTGTTTGGAAAACAGTACTGGGATACATGAAGCCATCAAAAAAAATATCCCCAGGGGCATTTGGCAGCAGTGCACATATTTACACGGTATGCTAGAGATGGATGTTTGTTGCAAATCTGGTTCCAAGAGTAGATAAAAAGCCCTCTTTGTACTAAAGTTTGCCTCTGCCCTGGCTATATGCTGTGTGTTATGACAGGTCTACACATTACCTACCCTGGGATTTGTCGATGTAACGTGGCACGCAAGGAAGACCAATTTGTAGGACAGGTCTCTGACACCAAGCGCTTTAAGGCCTTGGACTCCTTCCGCTTCGTAACCTTCAGCTCCTCCCACTCGAGAACTTGTTTCAGCTCGAACACCTGTCAGATGAAGATCAGGTCATGAAAATTACCTGAAAGTATAAGCATATGACCCCCCTCAAATATACATCTGAGCATACCCTAGCTGCAAGCACACCTAATGAAATGCCATCTGCATGGAATTAGTAGGCAATCATTGCTGACCTCTCCTCTTGAAGATCTAGTTGCTTGGCAGTCAAGCTGATCTAGTAGCTTCACTACTTTGAGTCACCAACCCAAACAAGCATGCACCCCTGACTTCACTCCCTACAAACTATTTCTGGCTCAGGGACTCTAAGCTTTGAAACCAGAGAGCCAGGGAAATGGTATTGTGGAAAGGCAGGTCAGCAATGGCAGCCTATTCTCAATACAGTAATAGCAAAAGGTTTCCCAGCACACTCACCAGCCAGCATGCAAACAAACTTGTCTCACCGCTAAGGCTAAAAACAGAGGTTTAGAAAATGTGAAAGCCGCACAGCCGACCCAAGGCTAAATGTGCGGCTTTCACATTTTCTGCAGAAGACGTGTATCTAAACCTCTGTTTTCCTGCATTAGATTATGCTATCAAATAAAAAGCTGCACTTGCAATATTGTTGTAAACCAATAGAAATATGCAAGTGGTCACAAAAACAAAGACTGACAATGACAGATATACAGCCATCAGTGCCTTTTTGTTTACAATCATTGCACACTAGTGACCATTTTTGACGTGCAATCTAATATAATAATAAGACCAATATGCCTATTTTGGAAATGTACAGCACTTTCTAAATATTTAATAAGATTCTTATTTAGCTACTGTGTATTCTGTAGATATTGTTGGCATGTGAAAGGCTAGCAGAGTGTTTAGCAATATTGAATGATCAATAGCAGTATCAGTGACGAGACAAATAGTGTCTGAACTCTGACACACAGCAGACACATCTCACCCTAACATCGATTATCATCCCTTTAAAGAATTCCGTTATCTGGACACCTAGCACGTTCCCTTACCTGGAGTAGACAGCTGAGCAATATCCGGTACAACGATTAGAGAACCGGTGAAATCAGATCTGTCACCAGCCTGACAAGACTCCACGGCCTCGGCACGGAGGATGATTTCCATGCTACGTGGAATACTGCCACGTGGGAGCTCTGCCTGGGTCTCCTGGATACGGACCTAGAGAACAGAACCAGAGTACTGTGTGTTACAACAGGAAATAAACACGATGTTCCTGTTCGGGTTAATTGCTGTGAAAATACAGCCCTACCATAGCAGAAGGGTTACAAAACCAAAAGCTATTATATGCAAACTCTGAACCTCCAAGTCCAAAGCCTGGAGAAAATGTTTTAACATGTGTCTACCCTGCTCTGTGCAGAGTGTGACGTTACCCAAATCATTTTGAGCTGCAGGCAAATATTGCGTCTGTGGTGGACTTCAATTTGATCCCCAAGCAGACTCTTTAATCCTAGGCCAAGGATGCACACCGGGTCTGGACACCCACACGAGTCAACGTTGGGTCCTCTTCCCTCCAGAAACGAAGCCTCACCTATCAAATGCCAGAACCTCAATGACAACTATTGTTCTGGTGTTTGACAGAGAGGTTGGGCTTAAACTCAATTTGGGCAAAAGGTGAAGTTCCAGCTTTGTAACCAAGCGGTCTATATGGACACCACAGCTCCTTTAAAAGAGTTTGGGCCAGGATCATCTACGATAATTTGGAATCAGCAAGAGAGCTGGCTTGTCTATGCCCACCCCCATTCATTGACAGATATGATATACCTAATGTGTTACAGAGAAACATAAAAACACTTCCAAAACTGTTTTAGACTCCAGCGGATACCTTCCATCACTTGTTTCTTGGCTCCCATGTCTCAGACAGGACGTAAGGATAAATCTTCCCGATGAGGACAGCCAGGCATAGAAATCAGATGGGATATAACCCAGGGCTAGGTAACCTTGGCACTCCCAATGCCATCATTCCTCTGCAAGCCATGCCTGTCAGAATATTGCAATGTCTCATGGGATTTGTAGTTTCCCCTAAAGTTGGAGTGCCGAGGATGCCTACCCCTGTTCTAACCATTCCTTTAGGGCTGCAACAACTAATCGACATAATCGATTTTTGAAAAAGTTGTCAACTATTTCAATCATCGATTAATCGGTTTCCGATTGGTTGGCCCTGTTTACGGCTCCACACACGCTGCGCGCCGCACCTCTTCCCCACCTCACGTACGCCGCTGCCAGACCCGCCCGCATGCACGCTCCACACGCCGCATCTCCTCCCCGCCTCACGTTTACTGCCCGCCCACATCCACAATCGGCACAGGGACGTGGGGAGAAGTAGTAAGGAGGAGCAGGTGTGGGGGGATGACAGACGCCGACAGACAGGCCCGCTCTCATCGTTAGCTGCAGCTCTACATTCCTTACTGTATCCGAAAACCTTTTCTGGATGAAGTTGGGTATTAAGGCACTTCATGTATGGCAAGTGGACTATTACCGTATTTTGCGGTCCATAAGACGCACCGGACCATAGGACGCAGGGAGGTCCGGCGCGCCTTATGGAGCACTCGAGACTGTAGCTTCTGTCACAGCTTCTATGACAGAAGCTGCAGTTAGTGACCGCTGAGACAGGTGGCGCTGTGATTACAGCGCCACGGTCTCAGTGATGACAGAGCAGGCGAAGAACGTCTATTCTTCGTCTGCTCTATGGTTATCTCGATCGTCGCCGCTCGGTTTTAATACGAGTGATCTCATTAGATCACTCATATTAAACGAGCAGTGGCTCCTGCTGCTGAACTCGATTGCCTCCGCCGCTACTCGGCTTTAATACGAGTGATCTCGTTAGATCACTCGTATTAAACGAGCAGTGGCTCCTACTACTCGCCCGGCGCCCGAAACTGCATGTCTCGGGCGTCGGGATTCGCTCCATAAGACGCAGGCACTTTTTACCCCCTCCTTTTGGGGGGAAAAAAGTGCGTCTTATGGAGCGAAAAATACGGTAATCAAGTTTTTTTCATCAGCAGATCAAAAGTTGAAAATCTGCTCAGATGCCCCAGTGAATGTCCATACCCAGAACTCCACCAATCAGTGGTTTGATTAGAGCATCCTCATTTCAATTCAGACAGGCACTGGAAGCCCACTGAAATATAGTCAGGATAACAAGAAACCGTTTTTATTCGGAACTGTTGCCGTTTGCATGCTATAAAACGATAGCCTGCTGCAGACTTCACCGAAATTCAGCACTTTACGAGTGAAGTAAACTATAAAACATACAAGGCTTATAATATGAGCCAAGTTTTGGAGTACAATATCTGTTGCTAGAAATAATGGCAATATCAAATTCCTCACCCCACTGAAGGTATCGATGTACCAGGACCAGGGATGCCAAATTCCTCAACCTACTGAAGGTATCGATGTACCAGAAGGACCAGGGATGCCAAATTCCTCAACCTACTGAAGGTATCGAGATGTACCAGAAGGACCAGGGATGCCAAATTCCTCAACCCACTGAAGGCATCCATGTACCAGAAGGACCAGGGATGCCAAATTCCTCAACCCACTGAAGGTATCGATGTACCAGAAGGACCAGGGATGCCAAATTCCTCAGCCTACTGAAGGCATCCATATTCAATGGTGTATATCACTGAGTTGTACACAGCTAATCAGACATGCTAAGCTGCATATCAACTCTCCCAAAGCAATTCTCTCATTGAGGCTTTAGTATAGATTACCATTTAAGACAAAGCTCTTTGCTGCTCATTACCTTTTGGAAATCAACAAATCGGGATTTATTGGTGTCCAGCATGAAGCGCCTCCTGTTGGCGCACACGGGGTTCCGGCAGATACTGGGCTGGGTGTATTTGAACTGCTGCTCCACATCTTTGACCAGAGTCTGACAGTCCAGACAAAGGAAGGTACCGCTGACCAGTTCAGGATGCACAGGGTGAGTCCGGACAACCTGACCGCTGATTCTCATCAGAGAGCCTATACGGGGGGTGGTCAGCTCCCTGATCCTAAGGACAAAACAAGAATTTCAGATTCATCCTGAAGGTGGCTGATCCATGCAAAGCCATAATTGAACTGCTTTCAGCTAAACACATAAAGGGATTCTATGTTCCTCCTATTCCAGGGGCCCCAAATATGCAAGTACTCACCTGCCTTTCGTTGTAGCTTCCGTTGGCAAGAAGTGCAACTCCACATCGCTCTGCTGGGGCTTACACAGGGATAAGGACTCGCCCATTTTTTTTAGGAGGGTGCTTGTGACTTACTAGCCAATAACCAAGCACTAGAACGGTCATAAGGGATTAGAGTAGATATACCTGGAAATACCATTTTCCACTCTCGGGGGCTAACTAGCAAGAGAAAGTTAGAGATTGTATCCTGTACAGCTTTTATGACTAGAAAAATCAGTATCTCAGGGGGGTGCTCAATAATTAGGGAGCCATCCCATTCCCCCTCAAGTCTATAGTACGAATACATAAAGAGATAGCACACCTGCACCAGTAAGATGCAAAAATAAAGTCATACAAGTATCCAGATAGAACATAATGGATTGAAGGATCACCTGTCAGCACAGCTTGGCCGAAAAGTAAAAGATACAAAGAACTGATCGGAATCCATGCACAGAGATAGGGTAATAGAACATACAAGTCAGTTACATAGCTTATTGAATAAAAGAAGGACAATGGCTACAGTCAGGCGGAACAGGTGTAGCCCAATACCTCAGGGTATTCTTCTCCTTAACCCGTTCGTGACTGACGACGTACAGTGTACGTCGCCAGCATCGGGGCTGTTTAAACAGACTCCCGGTGACTTTTGCCGCCGGGACTCTGTTTAAACTTGTAGAGCCGACTGTCGGCTTTACAACAGAAGCGATCCTGGCGACTTACCTGTCGCCAGATCGCTTCTACGTCCCGAAGAAGGGGCCGCCCCCCCCCGCCGGACACCCCCGCCGTGCTTCCCGGGCTCCGTTGCCCCTCCTACGGGCCCGGGACCGGCGATCTTTGTGTCCGCGGGGAGCTGGGGAGGAGGTCGACGAACTTCCGTTCATCGATCCCCTCCCCGTTCTATGGGACCGGGAGCGATGCAGATTGCATCACTTCCGGTCCCTGGGCTGTCAGTTCTGGGCTCCTGGAGCCCAGCTATAAGCTATTGAAGTGCGATCTGCACTTCAATAGCTTATTTCCAGTGTAAAGGTGACACTGGGGGTCTTTTGGACCCCCAGCATCACCTTAAAGAGTACCTGTCACCACCATCTGCTATCACATGGGGGGGCTTGTAAGCCCCCCCCCATGTGATAGCAGTCAAAGTAAAGTAAATAAAAAGCTTTTTACGTATGAAAACGACGAACGCGCTACACATGTTGGGTATCGCTGTGCACGCCGGAGTGAGAGCAATAATTCTAGGGCATCTCTAAATTGATGACCTGTGGGGGCTTTTAAAGCGTCTATGGACTTTTTGGGGTACTTTGGTTTTTCGTCGTTTTACGGATGCACGCAATGGGTATCGTTTTACTCGTTGTAACCTCATCTTTTATATTTCATTAAACAAATGGGTGTTTTTGGGGCATTTAATAAAATTTTTCACTAAATATTGGGGTTTAATAAGGAGTTGCGCTAATATTGCGCAACATAAAAATTTGCAACTACCACCATTTTATTCTATAGGGTCTTGGCATTCAGAAAATATATAATGTTGGGGGGTTTTAAGTAATTTTCAGGCCTGAAATGTGGAATATAACAAAAAATGCCTCAGTCATGAAGGGGTTAAAGAGATTTTTGCAGTTCACAGGTGGGATTTCCCAGGGAGGCACTGGTGATATAGCCTTCCCATGATGCATCTGTGAGGCCAAGGCTACGCCAGCAGCGCCTCCCTCATCCCGGCCAGGGCTGCGCCTCCCTCATCCCGGCCAGGGCTGCGCCTCCCTCATCCCGGCCAGGGCTGCGCCAGCAGCGCTTCCTTCATGCCGAAAGTGGAAAACTATTAATTGTAAGTAAAAGCAAAAAATGTTTAATGAATGCAAGATGATTTCATATCTGCATGCAGAGATGCGCACTGATGCAATTTTAGAGAACAGGGCTGGAGGTCCACCTCTAGTGCTCGATCACACCAGCAGCCGCACAGCTGCTGGTGTGAGTGTGCCTGGAGAGCGCTGATGTGCTCGAATCGAGCTGCATTACAGGGTTTCTTTTTTGTTAGAACTTTATTGAAATGTCACATGTGACATCTGAACGAGTAATATGGGCTCACTGCAGTGCCATGCTGTCGTATCGCGTCTCACTGCAGTGCACTTAGTAGTACTGCATGCCGTATTGAACGCGTTGGTGTGAACTGTGTCCACCTGTGACAAGGCAAATTGCCTTCTCTTGCTTTCGGGCTGCGCTGGAAAAAAGGTGGATCTCCATGATAGAAGGGTGGAATACCCCAACAAGTCTTTGTAGCCATTGTTTGTGTTCTTTGATATGCTATGCAATGGTTTTTGCATGTTCTATTACTGTATCTCTGTGCATGGGTTCAGTCAGTTCTTTGTACCTTGTACCGGGCAAGCTGTGCTGACATGTTGCATGGATCCTTGAATCCACTGAATATCTGGATACTTTTATAAGGTTATATCTGCATCATACTACGGTAGGTGTTGGGTCCCTTTATATGTATTTTTAGAACAAGGGAAGCAGACCGATAACAGGAAGCATCCAGATATAACTCTTTCATGGAAAAGCCTTGGCCAGTTCCCCGCTGTACCCAATCCTGAACAGACTGGACCACAATACAGGTCATGTCATCCGGCAGATCTTACTTGTGTCTGGTGGGGAGGTCTTGGAAGGCCACATAGAATTCCTTGTTTTGGGGCACATTGCCGTGGTCTCTGGCAAACGCTCTCACGGCTCGGCACAGGAACGGGTAGACTCTGATAAGGAGAAAGAAGATGTCAGAAGATGAAGGACGCCAGGGTACAATCACAGGAGGACCGGGGCCATGGAGAAGCCGGGGGTCTCACCTGTAGAACTCCTCCTGGACGGTGGTGGCCAGCTGCTGGTTAAACTGCTCCAGATCCTGGAAGCTGACCAGAAGTGTGTTCCTCTCCGGGCGGATCAACTCCTCCGCATCGCTTTTATACTTCAACTCCCCATCGGCATTCTGAAACCTGAACGTTACATGAAACATCATTAATGCCATGAAGGGGAAATTCTTAATGTGGAACAGCTGTATAGAAAAAGCAATTCACAGTTACTGAGGAACTACAATTCCCATCATACGACAAAGTCCTTCCCCTTCAGCAGATCAGAAGATGCAACTCCCAGCATGTCGTGCCAGTCTGCCATACCTACTATAAGACAACAACTCCTCCCAGCATGTCGTGCCAGTCTGTCATACCCACTATAAGACAACAACTCCCAGCATGTCGTGCCAGTCTGTCATACCCACTATAAGACAACAACTCCCAGCATGTCGTGCCAGTCTGACATACCTACTATAAGACAACTCCTCCTCCCAGCATGTCATACCTACTATAAGACAACTCCTCCCAGCATGCCGTGCCAGTATGCGATACCTACTATAAGACAACAACTCCTCCCAGCATGCCGTGCCAGTCTGCGATACCTACTAGAGGACATGACATGCCAGTCTGTCGTACCTACTATAGAACTACAACTCTCAGCATGACATGCCAGTCTATCATACCTACTATAGGACAACAACTCCCAGGATGTCATGCCAGTCATACCTACTATAGAACTACAACTCCTCCCAGCATGTCGTGCCAGTCTGTCATACCCACTATAAGACAACAACAACTCCCAGCATGTCGTGCCAGTCTGCGATTACCTACTAGGACGACAACATGACAAGCAAGTCTGCTGTACCTACTATAGAACTACAACTCCCATCATCACATGCCAGTCTGTCATACCTACTATAGGACAACAACATCTCCCAGCATGTCGTGCCAGTCTGTCATACCCACTATAAGACAACAACAACTCCAAGCATGTCGTGCCAGTCTCATACCTACTATAAGACAGCAACTCCCAGCATGTCGTGCCAGTCTGTCATACCTACTAGAGAACATCACAACAACTCCCAGCATGTAGTGCCAGTCTGTCATACCTACTAGAGGACATGACATGCCAGTCTGTCGTACCTATTATAGAACTACAACTCCCAGCATGACAAACCTACTATAGGACAACTCCCAGCATGTCACGCTGGTCAGTCCTAGCAGTTGTAGAACCACAGCTCTCAGCATGCCATGCTACACAGTTCAATTTATCGCTGTGGAACTATAATTCTCAGCACACCATACTAGTCATACTATTAGCTGCTATAAAACTCCAACCCCCAGCATGTCACGTAAAACATCCCCACCATCCCCTATAGAACTACAACTCCCAGAACGCCATGTCAGCTAGCCCCATCATCCCTATAGAACCACAGTTCCCAGCACGCCCCATTATCCCTTAGAGAACTACAACCTTCCTGGGTGATAAGAGACCCCAGGAATCTAGGACCAAAAAGCTAAATAAAACCCTCCGGGTGCGGCTCCCCATCGATCATACTGTATATCTGTGAGCTGAACATGCTGAGGGCCCAACCCTGTGTGGCCCTCGGCTGATATTGTGGCCCTATAACGCGATAGGGGCGTCCCCGGGAACACACTCACTCCTCTAGGAAGTCCTGGAACAGCTTCTGACACTTGTCGGCGAGCTCATCCTTCACATGCGGGGCGGCGGCCGCGGCTCCGGGCTGGGAGGCATCCATTCTGATTACCGATCACACACTGCTACCGCTCGGTAAGCTGAGGAACTTTCGCGCCAATCTGCAGGGTCACGTGAGCCGGTTCGCGCCACTCGTGGCCAATGAGACAAAAGGGACGGGACAAGTTTTCGCGCCACAGAGATACGAGGCGGAGCCAAGGAAGAACCATCTGCGGGAGCAGTGTTGTGCGCTGAGGAGCGCCCCCTGGTGTAGGGAGGATAGAAACAGGTATCTTCTGACCCTTTAGCCATTGTGTGCTATCAGGTTCCTCCTGCTGCATTAGGTCTCATCCTTTTCTCTTACCTTTATTATAACATTGTACCCTTGTCTAAAGTGTGAGTATCACAGAACTCTTACAATGTAAGTAAGGGCAAGGCTTTTTATTTTTTGAGTATTGGAATGCATGGGGAAGGGTAAGAGATGGGGTGGACAACTCCGGCCCTCCAGCTGTTGTGAAACTACAAGTCCCATGAGGCATTGCAAGACTGACAGTTACAGGCTTGACTCCCAGAGGCAGATGCATGTTGGGATTTGTAGTTAAAGCATAGCTAGAGGGCCAACGTTGCCCACCCTCAGGCTAGAGCCCCCGCCAAGTATTTATTGCAGTTTTTGGTCCCACTGCGTAGATTTACTACTCTACAAATCTCACAGAGACAGAAAATGAGTTGCCAGAAGAGGTGAGAGGAAATCATATAATGGGGACAAGTGCACTGGTGACAACTCTCAAATAGGGATAAGCTTCAAACTGAACCTAAGCTCCATGGGGCCACTCACCCAATCAGCTGCATGTCGGGTATTCCCTGCCCTGCAAGTGCACATAAAAGGGGCTGGATGCTTGTGCAGACATCATTGACCTTATATGACCACATGGCCATATTAGGTCCATGTCAGGCGCTGATCTGCATTCGCTTGCTGCATGCAGCATTGGCCACCACCAATTGATTAGCTGGGATGCAGGACACCAAATCTGTCACAAAATGATGGGGTGCGTTTATAAAAATGTTGCAGAGCCCTTTGTGCCACGAGACTCCCATTTGCCCTATTCCCATCCAACCTATGTTGATGTCTAGGGATGCACCGAAATTTTGTTTGCCGAAAATAGTACTATGTGCAAAAAAAGTTAAAAAATGCGGCACATCCCCAGCCTCCATTCTTTCCGCAGGGCGGCAGCAGGAACCTTAAGTCTGTGTCCCCTCCGATCCAGCTGCCGGTGCCCAGTGGGGAGAAGAGAAGCTTTCAGGACTGACCGTGTCAGAGAGCTGCGGACGGGGCGATTCAGGATGGAGATCGGGGAGGATCAGCAAATATGTGGAATAATTGCTGATCCTTCCATGTAATGCTCAAACATCGGTGTGACCGTTTCTGATCACACCGAATGTCTGTAAATACGGTAACTGAGGACATAGTATTCAGTTACTGTGTCCCCCAACTGCGAATGAATAGGAAGTGCTCTACATCACTTCCTGTTCATTTATGGTTGTGGACACAGTAACTCATACTATCTCCTCAGTTTATGAATGAACAGGAACACTCAGTATAGAGGCTTTCTGTTCATTCATAACAGGGGCTGCAGAAAAAAAAGAGACTCTGTGTCCACCATCTCTTTTTCTATTTCAAAAGGGAAATATCAGAGGTCTGTTTAGACCCCTGGTATTCCCCCAAAGCCCCCGATAGTAAAGTTAAAAAAAATAAAATTAAAAAAAAGATTGGGAGAAAAAAAAAGTTCTTTTCAGGTTTTGACAAATTTTTAAATTTCGGTTTCAGTCTAAAAATTAAATTTCGGTGCAGGCCTTTAATGTCAGTTTCTCAGAATGAATGGTTCTGGGAACTGTTGATAAATAATAGTCCATGAACCCATCACACTCCTGACTGCTTTTTCCATGCAGATTAGATGGGTGCAACGGTACACGACGGATGGCATCCGTCTCCATCCAAAGAGAGGAGTATGGACACCGGCACTCCAAAATGCAAGTCAAATGCGTCTATTTATTGGCGTAAATGCAGCAAATCACATTCAGTGCAACGTTTCGGGGCCTCACAGGATCCCCTTCCTCAGTTAAGATGTGTTGCCTGAGGAAGGGGATCCTGCGAGACCTTGAAACGTTGCACTGAATGTGATTTGCTGCATTTAGGCCAATAGACGCATTTGACTTGCATTCTGGAGTGCCGGTGTCCATACTTCTTTCTGTTGATAAATACACCGCCCATCCATGGCCACATCTACTCTGCTGCCCCAAGGCCAGGTTCCTCAATGCGCCCCTCTACTTACCAAAAAGTACCCCCCATGGAGAAAGGACGACCTGCAGGCTGTATACAAAACAAGTGGCGGCCTCTGCGCTGTACATTTAGCTCTGCTTGTCCAAAGCAGGGCTAAATCTAGAAAACAACCACCCACCCGATGCTCGTAACTGCATGTCCCTGGCATCGGGAGATAGGAATTCCACACCCCTGCTGCCCCGAGGCCGGGCCTTGTGGGAAATCCGGCCCTGCCCCCATCTTTACACATCCAGTCTGTGTGTCCTTAGCAGGTTTTTGTCATCTGCATAAAACAATACAAAACCTGTGCTTCTCATGACGGCTCAGTAAAGTCCCCAACACAAAATGACCGGCTTACTTCAGCAGCACATTGTTCACAGAGCAAACACGTCGCAGCATTAGGAAGACTCTCACCCAGCCACGCAGCAAAGCAGAAGACACACAAACCTGTTCATCACATGAAGATCCAATAATAAAAAGAAACTCGTCAATAGAATTAATCAAGTCATTTATTTCCTTCAGTAGAACGAATTTGTTATATAAAGACAACGATTTGTATTTATTGTCACCTCTCTATTAGTCTTTACAAAACAGTACGGTCTCCTATTATGAAGCCATTTTAAAATCATACGATTCCGAGGGTTATTATTTGCATATAAAACTTTGTTTTCTGATCTTAGGTGTTATCCCAGAACTGTCTGCTAAGAGTTTAGCTTTCCGTAGACATTAGGCAGGGGTCAGAAAAAGCTCCAAATCCTAAAGGATCCTCCCTTCCTACAGCTCCCATTAATATCCATGCTTGTAGGACATCAAGCATACATATTTATACAACAAGAGGACAATCTAAGGCTGGGGTCACACCGAGGCGGCACTGTTTTTGCGCGTTAACAGCATGCGGTTATTGGCGCGTTGTGCACATTTGTAAGCGTTTTGATTGGCAGCTCATAAACCATTGTGGGCAATGGAAGAACGCGCGTATAAATACGCAAAAACGTTCACGAAAATGTGCAGCATGCTTCTGTTGCACATTTTTGGGCATTTCCAATGAAGTCTATGGGGCTTTTAACTGCCCAAAAAAGATCTTGTATCTTTTCAGGCGTTTTTCTGTTTAGGTGTGAACCAGGCCCATTGAAAATCATGGGACTTCTTGTGATTGGGCAGTTAAAAGCGCTTTTCGAACTGCTCAAAAACTCCTAGATGTAAACCACGGCTTAGGGCTTCTCCTGTCGCAAGAGAACAAAAGGCCATCAGCCAAAGAATTCCACTACAGTCTATCCTCATCAACAGAGATCTCCTGAAAGTGTCTGCTGGAGTTACAGGAAGCCCCATAGACATCCACAACTCTTGTCCAGTCTTTTCTAAATGGTATCTCATGCCTTATGGAAAGGGTCCACCAAACCCAGGAGGCAAGGTTTGATCATGTCCTCACTGTGATCTAGATCATTTAACTTACTTTACAACTATGGCAAGGTTGAAGCGGGATTCATAAGTCCATCCTGGACAGGAAGTTATATTGCTGAATATGTTTCCCTCTTGAGCGGTAGATGTAAGATATGAGTTGAAGTCTCCAGACCACAGGACAAAATGATCAGGCCTTGCGGGCAGTTACACTGACCCCTGCCTATAAGTATCTTCTAGTTCCATCTCATGTACTACGGCCCTGGTAAAAAGTCCAACCTTTATTACTGTAAGAAAAACAAAAAATATGGGAACCGAGGAACATTTGAAGGACTAGGCATAGAGTCTGGTATTAAAATGAGTATTCTGACTCTGTTAACAGCTCTGGTATTTGTTAACATTAAGAAAAAGTAAGGTTATGGAATCCAGCAACTCTTGATGGACGGCTTAGGGGGCAGTCCGGTGTTAGAATTTGTTGTAGGCATTGACTGATCCTATTGTTAGGTCTGATGTTTGTAAGTTATCTAAGTATTCAATGTGCAGTGTACAGTCTAGAACATGGCTACGTGTAGCAGGTGACATCCGAGAAGATGGGTCTCTATGGGGTGAGTCTTTTGGGGTCACGTGGGAACATGGAGGTCTGGCGGACGTTGTGCAGTCCCAGGTACAGCATGGTGACTCTCTCTAGACCTGTAATAGAAGGATGCGGTCATTAAAAAAAAAAAGACAACTGAGTGTATTTATATACAGAGTGTATTTATAAATAGAGTGTAAAAAGGAAGGCCTTGTATTTTTCTCCAAAATGCAGATATTAACATTAAAATTGATGGCACTGGGCACTCTGGGGCAGGTGTTGTAAGGACCAGGAAGGGCCCGTTTCCCTCTACTGGACTGTTTATAACTTATAAAAGGAATAGAGAGTCATTCACTATTATAACCACTAGGTGTAGGAGAGGTGGAGGCAGCAACTATTTCTAATGTTTTATCAAGGTGTTTGAGAGATATAAATAACTCAATGATAATTTAGTAAACCAACACATAATAAAGGTTCAGGTAGGATTCTGCCTTTATAGTGACAAACTCAGCAAAATCTTAAATCTTAAAAATACATTCAAGTCCCCTTTGAACAAAAATGTATTTTATTTGTGTATCACTCGGCAGTAGATCCTCAAATCATCTCTGAATTGTTGCTGACACTGTCCTTCCTTCTGGAGGGTGGTGACTACTTTTGTTCCCCATGGTCCCTGTGTGTGTTGTAAAGTAGTCACCGCTCCAAGCTCGCTCCCATGATGGACTACAATCTCATGTTTAGTTTACCGATGTGTATTCAGATTGTAGTCCATCCCGGGAGATCCAAATTACAACACATTGCTTTAAATCATACAGATTCTACTCATCTACTGAACATGCTGCTTCCTTAGATAACTTGGCATCTGAATACTATAAAATGGGTTCATACCCCCCTCACTAGAGATAAAGTTTTGCAGTTTGCCCAAAATATACAAAATCAGATACTAAATAGTGAATGTCTAACTACAGACACATTGGGAGCCATTTTTTTAAAGGGTGAACACAATTTTTTGACAGTTTTTTTTATTTCTGTGTGTGACTACATTGGGGAGATTGTTCCTTGCGTCTCGTCCCTATGACGCCCTGTCATGCAGTGGGGGGTGTGAGGTTATCATAATAGGAAAGCACTGCCAGCAATAAAAATAACGACAGTTCTAACCCTTCCACACTGCATTATATGTGTTTCCATTCACTTCCTT